TCTGATGCCAGTTTAAGGTGGAGAAATGGGATATATCAGCACCCAGAGGCTGCAGGGCAGGCTGCAGCACACAAAGACTTGCTCAGCCTCTCAGCACAGACAGGAGAACATTACTGGAGGGGTAACAGTAAATGTAGGAGCTAACTAGGGCTCTGCTGTCTGTCCGCAGCATCTGAAGGACTATACCCTGAAACTTGTTCCACCCTGAAACCTCTTAAAGAACCACAAGGAAAACATATCACCCAACACCTCTAGTTTTGGAAAACTGACCAAGTTATAAACATTTTGTATTTGCTACCAAAGAAGTGGATAAAAATATTCTTTAAAAAAACACACCTTCCCCACGTATGTTGGCATCCATTGGTACCCGTATGTCTCATTAGTATAACTATAACTTTAAGACATGTGTTTGATCAATGTACCAGATTTACATGTTGCTGCATTTTAAAAGCTTAAAAAACTTTGCATTTAGCCTAATATACTTATTGTGGAGTCAGAGGTTGCCAAACAGAAAATAACATACTAAGAAATGCCTTTAAGCAGTGATTTGTTCAGGATATTTGCATTAGTCTGTCCATTTTTTTTCTAGAGAATGACTCTAAATTAGAAATACTTCAGGAATGTCGTGACTGAGACTGATTAATCAGTGTAACTGTGTGAGTCTTATATATTTTATTCCTCTGTAAATATTTTAATTTGTTCGTTTAAATGTCATTTAATATTATAAAAGCATAAAAGATCACCAGGATAAACATTTATGACCTTTTATTGTGCCTGTGATTCGCTGTGTGCTCCGTTGCACAAGCTGTTTAGTAATACAACACTCAGGTTACCACACCTCGACCCCACCCGTCACTTCTTCCTCTCTGCTCCCTGCAGGAGGAAGGGGTGTGGCTAGAGTCCTACCCATGTCCTCCTAACTCCGGCGTCACTAAACACACATTGCACATCTCTCACAGGGACCGGCCCAGACTGCATAGCCCACAGGCACTGTTTGCTGTGAAAGAAACAGAGTGATTGGTCGAAAGAAAAAGAAGGGAGAGGAAAAAAAACAGGCAGGGAAACAGAAGGGCAGAGTCAACCCATGTGAGGGACAGAGAGGAGGTTAAGAGAGGATAGAAATCATAGGTTTGAGACACGGGTGGTGGGACTTCGGCCACATGACTGCACCCTCTGGGAAGGACTGAGGGCCACAGACAGAAGCAAAGGACACAGAAGGTTCCATCAAGGGAAAAACGATAAAATCATCATCTGGATTACTGTTTTGTGAGCTGACCAATAGTGACAATGACCTCTCAGCAGCAGAGGTACAGGAACTTCTCCACCGACAGCCTGGGCAGGGAGAGGATGCCCTCAGACGAGTCTTATTACCAAGGGATGCTGAAGGCGACGGATGGCCGGAAAGGTATACCAGAATGGCTCCAGTTGATGTGGGAAGCCTGTACACTTTGATCTAATCTGTTTGTTAGTGGGTGAGAAGCCAAAGGGAATAATGGTGTCTTTGAAATAAGTGTGCCAAGTTTCAGTGTCTTAAATAGATGTAGGAGGTTCCTGATGGATGGCTGTTGGTCATGAGGAAATTTTTAGTGGGGCTTTTATTGTCTCTGACAACCATCAAATGCAATGTAATGTTTTTTTATTTTACTTTTAACAAATGATAAAAGCACAGTAACACTGACTGGTCAGTTCTGTGGGTCAGGGAGGATCCTCCCCCCTTAATGCATCAGTGTCCTGTTTTTGGAACTCAGTAGCTGTTCTTGTTGTTCATGTGTGTTTGGGTGAGTGTGTCACTGTAGCTATGGTCTGTTTGTCTGAAGCTGTTGCCAGATGGATGATATCATTTCATTCAGTGTTCCTCTTTTTTTCCTGTGAAACATATCAAGATGCAAGTCTTCAAAAAGAAGTCTTTAGTTTTTTCATCACCCAGAATAGTCTTGAAAAGGACTAATGAGTGCTGGTCATTATTAAGACAAATATGCATCACAAATGGTCTGTATTAGGAAGTATTGCAGTGATGCAAATCCGGGAACTTTCACTCAGGAACCAGGAATTTGACTATAAACAAACAAATTGTTAGATTTAGATCATGCAGCCCGAGTGTAACCCCTTTAGAATGATTGAAACAAACTTTTGTTTTCAATTCCCAGATAAAACCACATTTTCAAAACAACAACTCCTACTTTCCTTATTATCTTCTTTAATAACTTTACAGTTATGAACGTCTAAAGAGTAAGCATCATGAAGCAAAATTATGGCAGGTTTCCAGGTTCTTTATTATTAAAGGTGCCACCGAACCACAAAGAATCACTCTGGCATGAGGAAACGTGGGGCGTGTTAATACATGATAATGAAACCTCAAGTTAAAACGTTCATCACTGGATAAAATGAGTAGTTTATTATTATTATTGGTAACACTTTACAATAAAGTTCCCTTTATTAATGTTAATTAGTGCATTATTATGAAAACCAAAATGGAACGCCACCTAGTGGTTTGCTGCAGTTTGTTATAAGTCCCGCCCCTTCGTGAAAACATTTGGGATGTCTCCTTGTCCAAAAAGAGAAACGTCCCTCATACGTTTATCCAGTCCCCCTGTTGTGTTGATACCTATTCAGATACCCATTTTCCCTCTGCACTGAAGGGACAGCACTAGGACCAATCAGAGCAACGAACAACATGACGTATTCATCACCACAGTAATCAGTCTACGGGGAAGTCCACCATACACCATCAAAGAAGAAGAAGAAGCAAATACATCGTTTTAAAAATAAAGGACTTAAGCCCCTCTATCTGCTCGCGTGTCTAAGAAAACCTGAAGTCCAAAGATGATCCCAAAGCTGTTTCAGCTCCGTTCCTGTGCCGATGCCATCTTTGTAGTTTCCCTCTGACACAGCTCTGATGCTAAGCCCGCCCCACTTCTTCACAGTGATCGGCCCCACCTAAAATAGTTCAGTCCAACGTTAGACCTGTTGACGGAGCGTAGCTAGATCGACCCACAGAGCGAAACCTTGTTGCCATTGCTACAGTTCGTCTAGAATTTGAGGCTAGTATTTTGTATTTGACTCTACAGAACACCATGGTTCTGTGCTGGTTAGGAGGCGGGGCTTTTTCATCCACGTCCAGAGTGCTCACAAGACAATATATGGAAGTTATCCTACATGAGACATTTTACACAGTGGAAGCAGTGGCGGTTCTACCATCCATGGTGATAATTCGTTCTGGGAGATCTTTATTGTCATTTTGAGCAGGATTTTCTAGTACTGAGCCACAAACTCTGTATCTGCTTGTTTATGTTTGGTTACATGATAACTGAAGACTGCTCAGCCCGTATTTGATGAATGGCAACCCTTCACGTAAACAACAAAGTTTACACACATTACAGTTGTTGATGATGTACAAACAGTATGACAAAATGCAACACTTGCAGAATCCACCGTCAGCACTCTTGACTTGACTCGTTAGTGTGTTTGAGCTTCCTGTCACCAGATTTCCTCTCAGTGTAACTTTTTCTCCGCGTCACAGCGAGTGGAACCACAAGGGTCATGTAGTTAGGCTCGGGCATCAGGTTAAATATAACCACGGATGGTTAAAGTTTCAGTTGGGAGTGAATGAGCTATCCATGGCAACGCAGTTCCACAACACGCTTGGATTTTCTGGCTGCCGTCAGAGAAAACAAGTGTTGCCTACGGGAGTGAATTTTATGCTGGTGTTGAATCAGTGTTCGTTGTTTTTCATTGCTGGGTGTGGTGAGATAGTCAGATCACACCCTGACAGCCGATAAGGTGGGGGACTTTGTGTCGTGTCAGTTCTGACATGGTGTGACCTGTGTTAGATGGACCTGCAGCACATCAAGTCCAACGGAGTCATGTATGTAGTGATATTAAATCTAACTTTAAACCACTTAAAGTAATGTCATTAGAGGCAGAAACAGACAGCCACATTAATAAGAGTTGTTTCAAAAACACACCTTGTGGGTTTCGCCCCGAACATCATAACACTAGCTGATGAAGAGCCAGTTTGTTGTCTTAGTGGGTGTATTCAGTACCTACATCGTGTTTCTGCATGTTGAGAGCCTGCACTCTGTAATAGTTAGACATACCACGATCCAATCACAAAGGTCACCTTCAAACTTGAACTCACAAATCAACGTTGTGAAGAAATCGTTTCATCTTTGGGTTTTTTCTCAGAACTTTGGTGAAACATAACTCTGCAGACTGTAAATTGTTTTTAGGCTAAGGGTTGATCAGCTGAAGGAGCCTGAGTCAGATGCAGGCGTGCGAGAGGTGTTTTTGGATTCTGTTTGGACAACAAAAACCAGGACTCCGGTATTTTTGAGATCATACGTGATACCACAGACACATATACGTAGACGCCCTGTGGACTGGAACTGCCTATTGGAGCTGCCGTAGTAAAGAAAAGAAAGAAAACAGTCTTTTATGTAGCGCCTCTCAAGATAAAGATAACTAGGTGCTTCACAAAAACAAAAAATGTAAAATATAAAAAGATTAAAAAAAAATTTTTAAATGAGAAAATTATTATTTTGATTGAGAAGGTAAGGAAAGGGAGAGAGAGAATGAATACGAATTAGGGGAATCAGTGGCCACTCGCCATCTTGGATGGGTCTCCCTTCGCCCCCAGTGCATTCATTTCTACCGAGTAAGGTGCTTAGCCAACTGAAAACAAATTTTATTATGCTTTTTGACAAAATTAGACATATAGTATGGCATGATAATTAAAATATAGATATAATACAAAATAAATCAAAATAGTACGCTAGTTGTTGCAACCGTATGCTGCATAGCTGCTCACACTGCACTGACTCCAGTTGGGTTTGGAGAGTGGGGAACCCACCCAATATGGTGGGAATGCTGCTAAGCTCTGCAGCATCCAATGGGTTGTCTACATATTCATGTCAATGCCTGATACACCCTGTGCTTTTGTTTTATTTTTTTTTTTCTGCTACATGTGGTTGATAATAAACAGAGATTACTGTGTGTTGCAGATGAACGGGATCGAGTACAGAAGAAGACCTTCACAAAATGGGTTAACAAGCACTTGATAAAGGTAAAAAGGTGTTCCTTTTCATCATGCATGCATTTGATAGCGTCAACTTTATTTAAGGAGAAATAAATGGAGTGTGACCTCTAGTTGTTTGCTTAAACCCTTTATTATAAATATCAACACAAAAGCAAGTGCATGTTTTAAGCAATAGGATTTATAAAAAAGTGTAATACTGTGGAACCTTATATTTAAACATGCCAACATATTTTAAATTTAATTTAATTTATTTATTTTTTTCATTTCAGTGCATTTTCACTGAAATCTAGAGACTTAAACATTCTGTGTCTGTCAGTGGAAGGGCTAAACATGCCCTGGTCCATCTGAGGGTAAATCTTCCTTAGTTTCATTTATAAACAACAGGAACTGAGTCTGAAACCTTTTACCTAGGATGCTCTTTCTAGTGTTTAATAAATGTTGCTATTTGCATATTTAGAGGTAATCTATTTTACCCTAAATGAAAAGAGGAAATGAGAGATGTATGTAAATACATTAGAACACACTCTAATGTTTTGTAAAGGACTATTTGTCAGTAGATGTTTTTTCTTTCCCTTTTTTAGTTTGTAGTAAGAATAGTTAAATAAATTCGAGCTGCATCAATGAAACTTGACTTGAGTGCAGATTTAGATTATCATTTGATTCCACCGAGGTACCAGAAAGCTTTTAAGAGACAGACCGTCATCATCGTTATTTCAGTCCGTCACTCAGCTGTTCATTGTCCGTATCTCTGCACATTTTATCACCGACACCCCACCCCCCACATTACCTGGCCAGTGTTTGTTTCATATTTGGTCACCAAGAGTTCACCAGGATGGGGAGGCTTACCAGAAGCCCTGCCTGTCATCAGCTGAGAGGCTGTGTAAACCCTCCATCAGCATCTACTCTCACCTACTTCATTCTGTTCACAAACTTTGGCCTGAAAGCCCACCAATAGATCACCCAGTGAAGGCGGTAAACGAGTCAGGAGGAGAGTCAGGGGAGACCCGAGTTCCTTATCAAAGCTGAAAACGCAGCCTGGGTTTGACGACTCCCCTCCCTTAGAGCAGGGGATTGTTCCTCCCAGGGAACTCCCCTCAGCGGTACTAGACTCACAACCTTGTGACACTAAGGCCTCCTCATACGTTCTATATTCAGTTCGCAGACATAGGCCCATTCATTTCATTGAAATGGAACAAGAGAGGAAATAAATGACGCAGCGAGTGTTCCCCTTTCCATGAACGTGCATGCCAACGTATTCCACCACAACAAACTGCTGCAGTGGCTCCTTTTTGTGTCTCTGTGTATTCACTGTGAATGGTGAGTCAAACATCTGGACCCACTTAGCTTCCTCTGTGAAGGCAAAATCTGTTCTGGCCCTAACGCCTGCAGGGGTCAGAGCCAGCAGGAGCACATGTGCTTCAAACTCCTGGGTTTGGGTGGTTTAACTGCTTTCATGCACGTCTGAAACATGGACCGTTTCATACGCATTCACATTATTGTAATCAATGCAGAAAAATGTTATGTAATTCTAGAATACAAGTGTTTTATTTATTCAACTTTTAGATATTTTAGATTTGCTGACAATGACACAGGTCTGGCAGGCTAAGTGTTAACTCCAGAGCAGAACCTGAGAGACTGCTCTGAAAGGTTAAACTGTTGTTAAACCCATTAATGACTTAATGGTTGACTTGGGGGACAGCAGACTATAGGTATGTATGAGTCCTGAGGCTCTACTAACAGACCCCGGATTGTTGTCTCCTTCACGTCCATTTGTTTTATAGCAACACTAAATATGTTCCCGGCTTCTCCCACCTACAGGTTGAAAGCAGATTTACAACTGTCCCAGGTGGCTATTGCTAACGAGCCACCTGATACAAAATAAGCCACAAAGTAAAAAAGATCCACACTGATGGACAAAAAATGTTATTGCAGTCCAGTAGCAACAAAGCCAGGTCACCATCAGTCTGTGATTTTGTACCTTCCTTAAGCTCCTTCTAACTCGTGTAGGCCGTGCCGATGCTCACTCCGGCTTTAGCTCTTTGCTTCACTTCAAAAGATATTACTCCCTTCCTTTTACTTCCAGGCTCTGCCCTGATACCAACAAAACAAGAACAATCCTCTTCTTCTTGTTGTGCTTTTTTTTGCCAATCAGCGAAATGGAAAAGCTAACTGCTAACCTTTACATTAGTGCAGTGTCTGGTCAGCAGCGGGCTGTCCAATGCCAAAGTTTCTCTCTCAAGAACCACTGTAACCAGTTTTTAAAGCAATAGTTTCAAGTGTTAAGATCTCTTTAGTGTAGCTTTAAGTTACGTCAGAGTGGAATGTCATTTCCTGTGAATCGGTTCCTCCGTACAATTTGTGTCCTTCATGTAATGAAAAAATGAAATCTAGGTTAAAAGGACTTGGACAAGTTAAAGTTAGAATCATGCAGATGCTGGATCACATTATGTTAATGGTAAAAACACGTCATTACTGTCATGTCACCTGTATGTTGTAAGGAACCGTTCAGAAGGTGTTGTATTTTTACCTCAGCGTGTGTTTTTAAAGAGTTTTTCTTTCAGCACCAGTCTTACAGAAGGTTTGCACTCTCTGCTGTGTGCAGAACAGTCATTAAGATGTGGCGGTATATGTTTTTGTTTGATTAGTTTTATTTACCAAGTGAGGGACCAGAAAATAGTGTTAAAATCACAAAACTCAGTACTAGAACAGTGAAAGTGAACCAACATGTATGTGGTTTATAATTCAGATTTTATTTAAAACATTTCTGGGGGGGGGGGGGGGGGGGGGGGGGAGTGACTTTCAAATGTGCAAACTTCTGGTGCTGTTGTGTTTTTGGAGTGTAAAGAGTGACCCCTGGTGGCCACAATTTATATAGCTCTAAAATATTTGATGTTGGTTTTGCAGACAGAAGCATTGGGAAGGGGTTGATTTACAAAACTAGGCCATCACTGCTGTAAATGTAATATGAGAGGCCTCACCATTTTCCCGTGAGCTAATCACCAGGATGAGAAATAACGTCTAGTTTTGTCAGAAAATGGGTACTTAGTTCAATTCTAACAAATACGATGATTTTGTGTTTTATTCATCTACCAATCATCTCCACTAAGCACTGGAAGGTAAAGGTAGGTAGCAGCATGCCGACAGAGGACTGCATTTCTGTGTGTTGATTTCTAGCTGGCATGAAGACACGTCCCTCCCTCACTCATCGTTTTCCTGTTCTCCCTTCATCCAGGCTTGAGTTTCCTGGCACCACTTCACCTTTTTTTGCTGTTCACTCGCTTCTGTGATTGGTTGCAGGTTGTGGTTGCACCACACCCTTTGATGTGTGGATCATAAATTCATGCTAGTCTGTTAAACGCTGTCCAAAAAATTTCCAAATTGAAATCTTTCTTATGGTGAGTTTAATATTCACCTTTTTCTTAGTGCTATCGATCAGTGTTGACAGATGCTCTTTGGCTCCATCCAGCTGTGCATTCCTGTTTACAGCTGTGCTACATCACAACTGGAACCGCTTCTGTTGCAAAAGGTTTTTAGCCACTTGTTTTGCCATCATTCTTGGCCTAAGTGACAATGATAGTAAAGAATATGTCAAAGTCCCAAAACTGGAGTGCATGGTGTTGGACGAATTAGAAAATACCAGGAAATTCTTCTTTATTTTTATTTTATCTGAAGACAATAAAGCACAAACAAGCACTGCAGTCTAAAACTCCAAAATTACTTCACTCATTTCTGAATTTAATAATTTCTGCTTTTGATTGTGGTGATTTTTTTCTTCTTTTCACGTGTTAGGCCCAGCGCCATGTGACTGACCTGTACGAAGACCTCCGTGATGGACACAACCTGATCTCACTGCTGGAGGTCCTCTCTGGAGAGACACTGGTGAGTTTAACGTCTGCCTCTGAACAAAGTGCCTGAGCTCTGCATCCTTTTTCTTTTGCAGTCCACTAAAAGTCTGACTGAATCCTGACTCAAACAACTGCATTATCATACTATTAACCTTACACGAACCTGGCTAAATGTATGTTTTCTCATCAGTCATCTTTGTTAGCTTAAATCGTTTTATTGCTCGACGTTTGAGCACTAATCCAGAAACGAGCTGTTTATATGTTATGTTTTGTAGTCCGATTGCTCTGAAGCTTCTGCTAAAGCTGCTGTTCTTCATCACTCCTACCACCAGCGCTGCTCATCTACTGAACGCCTTCATAACTCTGACACATTAACATGATGGGTGAATCTGTCTGATCCTGTTCTTTTCCACTCCTCTTTCTCTTGTTTCTCTTCTCCTTTACTTTAACCTTTGTGCTCTGATCTCTGCTGCCTGATCTTTGCCTGCTTTTCGTCTCGATTTGCTCGCTCGGGTTAGCCGAGGGAGAGGGAGGTCAGGAGCATCCGCCTGGTGAGTGGCTTTGGGACTTTTTACCCCGACAAGTTATTCACTTGCACCCTAGCAGTGATTTGGCTCTGCATGGCCTCCATAGACGTCTGTCTTGATGATTCATCCTTTTTTTTTTTGGCTTTTTTATTCCAGGCTTTAAGCATGCATCTGTTGAAGTTGTATAAAACATCTTCTTTTATTTTTTTAAAGCATTTACATTGTTTTAGTTGAGCGTTATCTGGCTACATGTGGGATTTTAGTTGCAGGTTCCCAATATGAGCAGAAACTTTCACAAAATTATCCGTTGTTTTCTTATTTGCAATAAATGTTCCATTTATTTCAGGGGCATGTCCAGGGAGTGGCCTGGGGTAGCACATGCTACCCTTGGAATCTGATTGGCCACCCCACTAATTTACTTTTAAATAGGCTTTTCATTGTCAACAAAAGGCTTGAGGGTAAAGCAAAAAAGCATAACCATTGGTGCCACCCATGCACAAAGCTGTGCCTCACCTGGGTCACCCCATTTTAAAAGATCTGAACATGCCACTGATTTATTTATTTTTTGTCATTTTCTTTTCTAATACCATCGACTCTCTACCAGTGGGACATTCTGTGCCAGTTTCCAGCACCAAGACTTCATACTGTAACCAAACTCTACTTTCTCCTCCTCAGCCCAGAGAGAAAGGCCGAATGCGGTTCCACAAACTGCAGAATGTACAGATCGCACTCGACTTCCTCAAACACCGGCAGGTATGAAGCCAAAACCATGTAAAACAAAACAAGCCACTCCTGTTCAGAATAATGTGGCTGATTTCTTCCTCAGGTCAAGCTGGTTAACATAAGAAATGATGACATCGCCGATGGGAACCCCAAGTTGACCCTGGGGTTAATATGGACCATCATCCTCCACTTCCAGGTCTCCTCCTCTGTCAGTGTCATGTTTCATTATATTATTACTCTTATCCTCTGTCTGGGATCACGGCTGCTGTTTCCCCATCATCTCCTTGGAACAAATGGACTGGGCTCTTCGAGTCTCCTCTCGCAAGACATTTCCTAATCAAGCCACGCTCATCATAGTCACATCATCTTAGAAATAACACACTAACGTTTAAGTCATCGACATATAAAAGGAAACAACTCACCATTCTGGGCGTGCTAGTGTGAGTCACTCCTTTTTATTTTTCCAGAAGGGAAGGAGTGTCTTGTGGAGTATCCAACTTTTTCCCAGTCACACCCAAAGCTCATTGCCAAGAGTTGCCAGGCACAACTCCCTGGACATCAGCCTAGAAGCCTTGGTCTCATTTCGTATAATGACCTGTTTGGGTTTAAATTCCTAAAAGTCAAAGCTCATGAGATTATTGAACAGTGTGCCTTCTAGATACAGTGTCTTTATGCTTGCATACAAGGGGGAATAAAAGGGATACAGCTCATTACCAAAGCTTAGAGGGATTAAATTCCCCTGTAATCACTTAATGCTGCGTTTAATCCCACAGGCTAATTATCTTCAAGTTATTAAAGCTTGTAAGAAAAACATAAAGGATGAGCAGTTATATGATCCCATATAGAACCACCACATATTTGTTTACATACCAGACTGAGCTTATATCATGATCTGTCCTGTGATTAAATACTTAAATCCTTATAATTATATAAAAGCAAATACAAATGAGAGGTGATTAAGGGCATAAACAATCAGAGGAAATCATCACACTGCTTTAAATTTGAACTCTGAGGGTGTTGAGTGATTCCATTTAATTGGATCTTTTGGTTTCTACTAATGGCTTTATTTTTTTCCACAATCCTTCGGCATAAAGTATCTACTGATGATCGGATCGAGTTAACGTTCTTCGTGTGTCTCAGATCTCAGACATTCAGGTCAATGGCCAGTCCGAGGACATGACAGCCAAGGAGAAGCTGCTGCTCTGGTCCCAGAGGATGACAGATGGCTACCAGGGCATCCGCTGTGATAACTTCACCTCAAGCTGGAGGGATGGCAAACTCTTCAACGCTGTCATACACAAACACTAGTGAGTCTGGAACACGATTCGCTGTTGATGCCAAGTTTATCAAATAAAATGCGATACAAGCTCAGACAGGCACGCTCGCTGCAGGTCGTGGCACCGGCATGATCCCGTTTTCCTTTTAGAGTTAACATATGTGCCCCATGGCTCTCCGGCACTGACAGGGTAACAGTGCTTCTTTGTTACATTTTTTGCAGGGTCCTGAACATTTGTACATATAATGTAAAACTGGGAGTTTGGAAAACATTCACATTATCATTTTAAAGGGACTCTTTAATGAAAACCTGCCTCTGTAAATTTACACATGAAACCCACAATCTGACCATTTTTTTTATCATGACTGGTCTATTTAAAGGAAAACCGCCTAGCAGCATCATATAGCCTAATCAAACCACCTTCTGCTGTGCGTTCTAATGCTGCTTAAATCTAAACAGAAAAGCTGAATTGTTCATTCATGATTTGATGCATCCCACACACCACCTGCTCCTGCAGCTTTCATTTAAAACCTGTATTTAAACTTTTCTTTAAACCATTTTCTGTTTAAATATATTAAAAGGTGGCTTTCACTTATTCTGCTTCCTTTATAAGCAGCTTATGAAGCTGAAGAAGCTGCTGAACATCCAGTATTGAACAACCTAATCCCAAGCCCTTGTTGTGTGTTTCCTGTAGTTGTGTGTCTTTGTAGCAGACTTAGTGGTGTTTAAGTGCTTTGTGTGTTTGCATCCTGGGACGTGCATTTACATTTATTTCCCAGGAAGATTCGACAGTGCAGGTAACCACTGGTTTGTTTCTGAGCAGCTGCATTCATGCTAAATCTAGAGCAAACAGGAGAAAAGCACGATTACGTTTGCATTTCTTTCCAGCGATTAGATTAAAAAGAATGTACCTGCAGGGGCAGGTTTCCTTAAACTGGCACTTCTACCAGTAACTTTTCTTTTTCATGTGAGACTCCTGAGGCTGGGCTTTTTGCTGCTTTTCATAAAGGTCAGGGGTGTGGTGTGTGTGCATGTGGGCGTAACTGTATAAAGTTCTGTTCTTCGTGAAAACTGTGGCACTGCTTTGTGACGATGCATTATCTGGACAAACCGGAGCAGAATACAGTTTCTGTGCACGCCTCCGACCTGGAATCGAAAACTGGTTTTAGCTCCATTTAAACAAGCCGGATTTTAAAGCGCTGTCCTGGACAAGTTGCTGTGAGACATTCTCATCTCATCAATCTGTCAGGAAGTTCCAGAGGAGACTAAGAAGATGACGGTCTCCTGAGAGGACCCCAGGATGGATTTACGAGTAGCGATCGAGCCTGTCGGGAGTGTCTTTGACTGAATCCACGCACTTGTAACTAGAACCGATCCAGCACCATCTTTTTACCTACTGAGGATTATCCTGTTGAAAATAAAATGCTTAGCATTAAAAGAAAGTCTAAAAAGAGAAAAGGAAGCTTGGGCTTTATTCGTGGCGTGTCAGGATCTGTCAACGATGTGGACACTCGTGTGGTCATGCTGTGTGAGGACATCCCATCAGAGGCTTCCTCCAGGGACTCAGGTCGGGGTTCTAATGGCTCAGGGGCCCATTCCAGCAGCGACGAGCTGGGCCATGGATGGAGGTCTCGTAGCTTCCATGGAAGAGAGGCGCAAAGCCTGAGCAGCCTCTCCAGACCAACTAAACAACACTCTGTCTGTGAAGTCCGTCATGTGGAGACCTCTCCTGTGTTTGGCCATCATAATCTACGCCTTCAACAGCTGTATGAGTCAGTGCTTTTTACTGAATGCTTAAATAAGTGTATTTGAAACTAAAAGTAGTGGAGTACACGTGGACGGTGATAAATGGGCTGAGAGTGTGTGATGCTGTCAGTATTTAGAGACTTGAACTTTTGTCTCCTGTTGGAGTCAAGCTGCGGCTGGTTTCTGACTTAAAACGTGTCAGCTAGGATTCTGTTAGCTACTCAGTATATTACATTCCTGCTATAGATGCTCTGACATGTGCCAGGAAGATTCAAACACCCAGAGGACAAAAAGGCAGGTGCTCCTGTAGGTTTTTTTCAGAAAGGGAACAGGTGGGCCCTTTGACAGCATTTAGCCATTGGCACAAAGTCTTGCACCCCTCTGCTGCTGCCATGGCCTTAAAGCCTGCGAGGTGATGAGCTGCATTAGTTCTGTCAATCGGATTTTCTGCAGTATTAAAGACGTACGGTCTTCCTCTTTCTACTGGTGTCTGCCTGTGCTGCAAGCCAACATTGTTTTGTGTTAACTGGCAAAGGGTTAAAGGTCACAGTGTAAAACAAGCATCCATTTTAAGTTATTAAATATCATAAGTATCAAACATGATACATCTGAAAATATAGCTTGATGGTTAACTTTTTACTTTAATGCATAAACGTTGTTTTCACAGCCCCAGACTCATCGACATGGGCAAAGTGTATCGACAGACCAACCTGGAGAACCTTGAACAAGCCTTTGGTGTGGCTGAGAGAGACCTGGGAGTGACCCGTCTCCTGGACCCTGAAGGTATGACGGGCCAGTATCCCTTTCAACGAAACCACAGTCAGTTGTTTTTAAAGACATGTAAGACAATTCGTTTTGAATCTTTCAGATGTTGATGTCCCACACCCAGATGAGAAATCCATCATCACCTACGTGTCATCCTTGTACGATGTCATGCCTCGCGTTGATGCCCACGATGGTCTCAGGGCCAATGTAAGCCACGTATGAAAAGTTGTGTAAAGTTTTGAAGCTAAGAGTCAGTATGTTGGAATAAACTGGACCTAAAGGGCCGTGTCTCATGCCGCCTTCCATTCCATAGTTAAATGGGATGTTTTTCTAATATGGTTGGTGCCAAGACCTCATGCTGTCAGTTGGATAGAGATAGATAGAGTTCATGTTGGTGACGACTATAAGCCACTACAACACCCAACTTTAGCTCTGTCTGTTACATGTTTGGAGTTCCAACATTTTTACTCCACAGCAATTAGCAAATTGTTGTATTTGCTAATGGTTGTGGCGGCCATCTTGAAATGACATCAGCCCAAAAGTTGATTGAAGACTTTGAGGGTTTTGCTTGTATCATTTGTGTTTCCCAAAGTGTTTTGCCAACAAATACATAAGTAAAAATGTATCACTCAACATTTTTTCTGTCTGGCAACAGACAAAAAAAAAAAAAAAAAACACTTCAGAAATTAGGATCATGTGGGCCTTACAGGAATAGAAGGAAGGGTATGGAACGTATGAAGACCTAACCCTACAAATAATGTATGATATGATCATCACTACTGATGTTATCATAAAGGTGAGAGTAACTGCACAAAAATGTAATCTGAAAAATATGGTGCCTGCCTCTTGTCATCACGGTCTACCCCTTCTACCATCAACTTCTTCAGACACAAAAGATGGATTGTTGCTAGCTAATTGAATAGAGTGGTGTGTGATTTTCCAACATGGTGACGCCAGAGGATAAGGATCCTGCTGTTTGTTGTTGTCAAACTCTCATGAGTCTGTCTGCTGTGCTGGCTCACAGGAGCTGGAGCTGCGCTGGCAGGAATACTATGAGCTGGTGACCATTCTGCTCCAGTGGATCCGCCACCATGTTACCATCTTTGAGGAGAGGAAGTTCCCAGGAAGTTATGAGGAGATAGAGGTGAGTAATTTTGAAGTTTATTTATTTTTTCTCTAACTCAAAAGTGTCTCCACTGAAGTCCTCTAAATGAAAATGTTCATCAGAACATTTAAAACCTTTCATGGACACAATGATTTATAATGAATGAGAGGAAACGTGAATAGATGTTGTTCAAAGGGCACTCTTACATAACGTCTGACTGTGGGTAGCTAAACAAAGCCCGCAGGTATTGTGCTTTAGTGCTGCAGCTAACATGTTTTAGCAGTCTCCAACTCTGCCAGCACTCTAACATGAAGAAAAAACAGCATAAATAAAAACTAGACTTCTTATTTTTTTTCTTTCAAAAAAAGTGGATGTGTCTGTTTTTAAAAACATCAAATGGGTTAAATGTGGAGCAGAAGTAGTGACATGGTGTGACTGTGTTGGAGGCTTGATTAGATTTACACCAGTCATGGGAACATGATGAAGTCAGTGTCTTCAGCCTGCTGTTTACTGGACACTTTATACCTGGTCATGTGCTACTGCCAGTAAACCTTTTCTTTCAGGGAATTCATGTAAGTGGTGTTGGGTTAATGATTATCAGTAAAAATCTGTTGACTTTAACAAAGTACACTTGAAGCTTTGCTGTTGAAATGCAGTCTTTTGTAAACTTTAAGACATTTTAGGATAATTTTCACGTGTGTTTCAGTGGAAATTGTTAACTTACTCTCATGGATGGCTTCCTGAATGGCCTCTGTTTAAAGAAACTTACTTGTATCCAGCATGACTGACGAGCTAACGGCTAGTGTGAGTGAAACAGCTTTGCACTACTGTTTTCATTTACTGTTTTTGTAAAATAAATGAATAAAATCCTGTCAGTTCTGGTGCTTGGATGCTGCTCAGGTCTTCAGTTGTACTGCTGCTGATTATATTTACATTTGTAGCCACCCATATAATTGTATGTGATGTGGAACGAGCTGTAGTGCAAAGGTTTATAGGCGAACATTCATATCAGCCAGAATGAAGCTTTGAAGGTTTAGTTGTTTTCAGATGGCAGAAAACACTTTGGTCTTGGCCTGAGCTCAGACTAGCCGTTAGCTCATCCATCCTGGTGGACTAAAAAGGTTAATTTATTTATGTACAGCTGCTACAGCAGCAATTTTTTATGACCTAAACAAACACAAACTGCAAAAAAAGGAACCACTCCTTTAACCCAGGTTACGCCTAAAAGAAGAAAAGATAATTTGAAGTATTAAATACTTTTGTGCATTTCTATGTTCAGCTTCTTTGGCGCCAGTTTTTGAAGTTCAAAGAAACCGAGCTTCCAGTAAAAGAGTCTGACAAGATCCACTCCAAACAAATCTACCAGTCTTTTGAGGTAAGCTGATTGTTACTTTTTCTATACACAGTCAAATATTTATAGTAATAACTCGAGCTATCAAATGTTGACATGTCCACAGAGTGCAGTGCAAGCTGGTCAGGTGAAGGTCCCCCCAGGCTACCATCCCATTGATGTGGAGAAGGAGTGGGGGCGACTCCACGTGGCCATCCTTGAGAGGGAGCGACTGCTCAGGATTGAGTTTGAGAGGTTCGTAAAGTGGCAGATGTGGAACAGTTTATCTTTTCTCAGCTCCAAATCATTTGTATCCTGTTTCCCTTTGGCAAGGAATGCAGTCTGAACAAGTCAGAACTGTGCAGAAATCAATCTGGTCCCAAATTTAACCTCTAGACTGTTTCTACTTCACTAGTTTAGAGGCATCTGTAATCTAAACCTACAGTTATGAAGAATTAAAAGGTCAAGATTAGGTTATAGACAAGAAGGTGTGCTAAAGAATTATTTTAAGAAGAAGACGCCATTTCCTTGAAAACGTAAATACACAAATCCCGAGCTAATGAGAGCTAATGTGTAAATGACCTGGTTTTCTACTAAGGTAATGTTCTGAAGGGAAAGTTAAAGTCACTAGAATGTGTCTTAGTATCATAGGTTTTAACAAAGCTGCTGTGTTCCTGTCCTTTTCCAGCGTTTACATGACAGAGTGGAGAGAGTGAGAACTGTCGGCTCTGTGAATGAGAGTCATCAGCCTGTAGAGGGCTGTAGATGGATAAGTGATTGTTTTTTAATTGTTTTCTATTCCTGTCTGATCCAGACTTGAGAGGCTCCAGAGGATTTACTCTAAAGTCCAGATGGAGTCGGGTGTGTGTGATGACCAGCTCGCTCACCTGGAGAACCTGCTGCAGAAGGTTATTTGGTTTTTAGAGTTTGCTCCTAATCTGAATCTGTAAATTCAGACGAATATAAAACACTTCTTCACATACCTGACTGGATGTTTATTATAAACCTTTTACAAAAAATACTGTTCAGAAATCCTAAGGTTCTGTTCTTTAACACGAGATACGAACGGAGATGTTTCTATTAATATTGTTGCAGTGAAAAATCTAGCAAATGAAACGTCCTTAATGCAATTGGTGGAAATTCAGAACCTGTTGTTCGACTTCCCTCCAGGACATGGCTCTGCTGAACGCAGGGAAGCCAGCCCAGCACACAGCAGAGGTGGAGCGGGAGCTGGACAAAGCAGACAATGTGATTCGCCTCCTCTTCAATGATGTCCAAATCCTCAAGGATGGACGCCACCCTCAGGCTGAACAGATGTACCGCAGGTGGGTGTTCCATTCTGTTTGCTCACAGAGGACCAGGACACGAGTTTATTACCTAACAGAGAAACGGTTACATTTCTAATACCAACACTGCTTCTGTTTTTAATCTCAGAGTTTTCCACCTCCATGAGCGCCTGGTGAACCTTCGCAGTGACTACAACCTTCGTCTGAAGGTTGTGACATCTTCCCGTGTTCTCCAAACCCAGAGTACCCAAAAGGTGCGGCCAGAATTGGATGATGTGACCCTGCGCTACGTGGAAGACCTTCTGGCCTGGGTGGAGGAGAACCAGCAGCGCATTGACAAAGCCGAGTGGGGAACGGATCTGCCGTCAGTGGAGTCCCAGCTGGGCAGCCACAGAGGACTGCATCAGACCATCGAGGACTTTAAATCTAAGATTGACCGGGCCAGGACTGATGAGGTACAGTACCGAAGTAGGCAGCTCATAAAGTGGACATGTTGTACACTATCTCCATTTAATAACAACGACCCCTTTTGCCTGCTCTAGAACCAACTATCTCCTGTTAGCAAAGGCAAATACAGAGAATATCTGGGGAAACTGGACCTTCAGTATGGAAGACTACTGGTGAGTAATTCTACATTCTAGACATGTGTGTGAAGATCTCTTTCTGATTCTGTTGTCTGTTGTCTTATGGGGATTTTTTGTTTCCAGAACTCGTCTAAGTCCCGCCTGAGGAACTTGGATTCTCTGCATGCCTTTGTCACTGCTGCGACCAAGGAGCTAATGTGGTTAAACGACAAAGAGGAGGAGGAGGTCAACTACGACTGGAGTGACCGGAACACGAACATGACAGCCAAGAAAGAGAATTACTCTGTGTGTAATGTCTTTGCTTATTTAGAGTTTTGCATGCATGAACAAAGGTTTATGAGTCATTTTTGACCAACACATGTGCTCTTTGGACTCTTCAGGGTCTGATGCGAGAGCTGGAGCTGAGAGAGAAGAAGGTTACTGATATTCAGGCTCTGGGAGACACGCTGGTCAAGGATGGACATCCTGGAAAGAAGACAGTTGAGGTGACTAAAGATGCAGTGTATCCTCAAAAGATAAACCGTTAAGTACTAAGTCTCAAACTAAAACACCGTGTCACCACTAGGCCTTCACAGCTGCCCTGCAGACTCAGTGGAGCTGGATTCTGCAGCTGTGCTGCTGCATAGAGGCTCATCTCAAAGAAAACACAGCTTACTACCAGGTGAGCAACACAAACAGGGATGATTTTGATACCTTTTCCATAAACCTTCTGAGATACACGTGGTGTTGTTTCATAACTGTTCTGAGCCTCTCCTGTCTCGTTGCAGTTCTTTGCTGATGTAAAAGAGGCTCAAGACAAGATGAAGAAAATGCAGGAGGGCATGAAAAAGAAGTATAACTGTGATCAATCTACGACAGCTACACGCCTGGAGGATCTGCTGCAGGACGCTGTGGTGGGTAGATGAGCGTGCTCACACACGAGTGCGTGATTGATGTCTGGGACTCTGAGTTAAACAGAGGTTATAGTATTAATGTCTATTGGTTTGTTCCATGCAGGAGGAGAAGGAACAGCTGAATGAGTTTAAGACTCTGGTGGCTTGTCTGAACAAGAGTTCCAGGTCCATTGTCCAACTAAAACCTCGCAATCCCACCACCCCCATCAAAGGCAAACTGCCGGTTCAGGCTGTCTGTGACTTCAAGCAGCAGGAGGTCAGTATCATCACACAGCATAGCCTAGAGAACTAGACCAAATTCTTGTCTGGCTTGCCATACCTTTATTTAGTCTGGCTTTCCAGGCTACACACAGCAGTGACTTTTAAAGGCACGCTGTGTAACTTTTTATAATATTAAATAATTTTCTTGAGCCAGTATTTGCTAAAATGACCCTTTACAAGGTTAATGAAATGTGACTCAGACCCCCACCACCCTCCACGGCCAGAATATCGTACTTGCAATTTCAGTGTTGGTCCGGTCTGTTGGACATTGTGAAGTGGAGCTGACATACCTGGCATTGCAAGCTGCTTCCAGCACTTTTCCTGCATGTTTTAGATCATGAGCACAGCTGATTTGTTAAATTTAGTGATGAATCACTCCTGTAGACACTAACAAAGTCTGGGGAGATGTTGCAGCTGTTACAAATGCACAGCAAATAGATAAGTTTCACTTTTGGTTTTACTAGCAGACACTAGAGGGTGCTAAACGCAAGCCCAAACTGCATAGTATCATTTTAACACCTTTACAACAGATTCTGAACAAACTGCCTTTGATATGTTTTAGATCACGGTTCATAAAGGAGATGAGTGTGCTCTCCTAAACAACTCTCAGCCCTTCAAGTGGAAGGTTTTAAATCGATCTGGACATGAAGCAGTAGTTCCTTCTGTCTGCTTCATTGTGCCTCCAGTCAACAAGGAGGCTGTGGACAGCGTTTCCAGGTAAGAATCTAAACATGCTTAAAGAAGAACCTTTTCTGTTTTTTTTTTCAACCTCTGTAACGCGTTTTCTGAGGTTCAATCTGATTAACATCACACCTGTCCTACTGTAGTCTGGATGCAGGCCATCAGCAGACAGTGACCATGTGGCAGACGCTCCATATGAACATGAAGAGTCTGTTGTCATGGCAGTACCTGATGAGAGATTTCACACTGATACGCTCCTGGAACATCACCATGGTTGGTAGCAACAAGTGGAACTAAATCTGTTGATAATATTCAGCCAACTTTACAAACGACTTTAGGTAAAAGTACACTTCAGAGCAACGAGTGGAGCTGGTTCTAACCTCATCTCTGTGCAGCTAAAGACCATGAAACCAGAGGAGTACCGGCTGGTGATGAGAAACCTGGAACTCCACTACCAGGACTTCATGCGTGACAGTCAGGACTCTCAGCTCTTTGGTCCAGATGACCGCATGCAGATTGAGGATGACTACAACAAGTGCACCCAACATTTTGACGGTCTGCTTCGCTCCATGGAGAAAGGTAGGATGCCCTTTAAAAAGACTCAAAAGTCTTTTGTTTTCATTTTTTTTAGCAGGTAGAATAAAGAAATAAAAAAAAATTCTTGCATAGCACTCGTACAGTATAAAAATGTCCATTCACCTTTCAGGACAAATGGCTAGTAGGCTCAAAGGTGAGTAACTTAATACCAGCCAGATGCACCGAGCTGACTTGAGTACATGCTTTAGCACTTTGGACGGGATGCTTAAACACAAGCATTAGCAGCTATGGTTGGGGTCAGAAGTGTGTATGCATTCATCATGGGCAGGAATGTACGACTGGTTCTTGAGTTTTTAACGGTGGAATGGTTAAACAACACGTGACTTCCATCATGCTATTGTACACCTCCTTGACCTAGTTGCTAGATTGTTCTATCTTTCACATGTCTGACCAATAAACGATAGAAGAAATGTGACTTGCTTATGGGGGCAGCTGCAGGTTTTAGCCTCAAGATGGTCAGAACCTTCTCAGCCCATGGAGATATAAAACACAACTCACTGTTCCAGTTCATAGGAGTGCTCTGCCTTGATAGTTACTGGGTTGTTGCCAAACATTTCAACATACTTCCTTTCATCTGAGAGTGATAGATGAGTTATTGCTGCAAAGAGAAATCAACCATGATCACTAATGAGGTTATCAACCTTGGCCGTGTTCAAATAAAATACGTTGTGGAACCACTTAATACATGTGCACAGACACTCAAACACTCCTGTTTGAAAAGTATCATCACCATTCTTCCTTAGAAAAGCAAATGGGTAAAAAGCCAAAGTGAATGGCATCCATGCCCTTGGTGAGTGTATGTAAACATCTGACTCCCGTAGAGAAGTTTCATGTGTGACTGCATGTTTTGGCTCCCGGGTTGCTTTGTTTGGCAGCTTCAAATACCACCTTGGGCCACATTTACCTATTATTATACATGCAACATCGTTTTCAATGTAAATGTAGAATGTGATGCTATGTGTATTTGACATATATGCAAGCATTTAGAGATGTATGCTAAAAGGAATGTTGCGTTTACATGAAGTCACCAATGAGGCAACTTCCCAGTTTGTTAATATAAAACCTTATGTTTCATGTGTTTTCATGTATTTCATGTATTAAAACCAACAAAGCGATTTCTTTCTTTCTTCTTTTAATCCAAAACATGTTTTGTGCAGGTCAACAAGATGAGACTCTGTGTAAGAACTACATTTCGGAGGTCAAAGACCTGCGTCTGCGTTTAGAGACCTGCGAGGCTCAGACTGTGGCTCGCATCCGCAAACCAACGGAGAAAGAGCCTCTGAGAGAGTGTGCTCAGAAAAGAACAGAGCAGCAGGTAAACCTGGTGTTTCACATGAAATGATAGAGGAGACGGGTTTGGAGATTTTTATATAGTCAGGGTGATGATTCAAGTATGAGAATTAAGGAGCAAATGAGGCAGTGAGAAGTGTTTCATACTGTTTAATCAAAGTTAGCGATTACAGATCTCTTGACTGCGTTTCTGCTGCAGATGTTCTGGTTATTGGGGTTCTTGAAAATTTAAGCAGTGTGTCTTATCAAATCCCAGTATCAAATCAAATCATATAGTCAATTTCACACCCAAGAAGTTCAGTCCTTGGCAGGGACGAAATTTTGATTTCAGAAGTGGGGGGGACACAGCAGGCTTGTGCGGATTTGGGGTGGGGGGTGTTATGTAAAGACCCCTTGACACGTCACGTGCCCATCTCAATAATTTTTCCATCCTCTATATATATATATATATATATATATATATATATATATATATATATATATATCAAAGTTAAAAAATGTACAACTCTATTATTATTTTTATTTATTATCATTATTGAAGTGCAGTTTTGGCTGTTGACAATGGATAGGCCATTGTATTTATTGTTTTGGGTCTTTTTTATTGTTTTTGGTGCAACATTTTCTAACAGGGAGTGAGATTCCTGTTTGTTATTTTTATTCATTTAGAAGTTCTGGTTCTGGACATTTCAATGTTAAATTAAGGTTTATTTGTTGCATTTTAAAGGGTGTACTTGCATTATTATGATATATTAACATTATATTAGTGGTTATTTTGGTCTAGATAATGTTGACAATATCGTTTATCATCAACAATTTGTTGGACAAAATATCGTCCAGCAAAATTTGTTACATTCCCAGGCCTAGTCAAAAGTATAAAAATTATTTATACATAAACGGTCCCTCCTGAGATCTGGCCGTTTGTTCATTTGCTGTGTTAGAGGACATGCTGAACTAATGTTTTACACATGATCATCACCCTAACATTTGAGTGTATAAAAACATATTAAATATGTTTTTTCCCTTAAAAGTGTTTAAACAGTTGTTGCATTTCAACACACAAAAAATAAATGGAAAAAATAAGATAAATCTAATGAAAAGTGTACATCTTTGACATTAAGCTTAAAAAAATCTGTTGACGATGATGATACCGTTCATTTTTCAGAGCTTTTTAATGTGAAAATATACATTGCAATAGATAAGTTTACAATAAAGTTAAATGATAAAAGTTTTGAAGTTACACTTCTACTACTACTAGTAATAATAATTATGATGATAATAGTAATAAAAAAAAATTATTATTATAATAATACGAACAAATTGTGTCTGAGGAGTCAGTTATGTGGAGGAGATGAGTTTGTAAAAGTTAGTTTTGAGTTTGTGTGTGAAGGAGGAGGTGAGTCTGAGCTTAATGCAGGGGTGTCACATGTCCAACTTACGTTTTGACTTTGAAAGAAGTCTCTTATATCCACTTTTCGTTTTCTTGACATGCTGCCTCCTGGCTGTGCCTAACTACCAAAGACTCACAAATGAACACTTATTCAAATGTTATGTAATGGAAGCTGAGCTGAACTCTGATATTACACAGCGTCTAGTTGACGATGTGACTCAGTACCGGTGTTCCCTAGCGGCTCCAAACTAGCAAAACAACGTGAGCACGTTCTGACTGTTTACAACTTGAGTGACAGCAACAACAGCCAATAATACGTTAGCAAGTATCAGCAGAGCCAATAGATTAGCTTTTGGGCGGGTCTAATAGTAAACCGGTTTCCGTTTCGGTCCTAGTGCTCAACCAAATCCATTTAATGGAGCGTAACATTGTTTTTGGACGGAAAAAAGTGCAGGGGACCAAAACTGCCTTTTGAAAAAGTGGGGGGGACATGTCCCACCCGTCCCCCCCCAAAATTACGTCCCAGGTCCTTGGGGAATGACAGAGGGGCAAAAGTTATCCTGCTAGCTGCATCCACCATGCGCTGCAGGAGCTTAATAGAGATCTCTAAACCAGCTGGTGAGGATGTTTGTGGTTGTATCCTGCCGTCATCTGGCTTTGTTTCCTTGTAACCTGTTTGATGTTGTTAACTCTGATGTTTTTGTGTCATACAGAAAGTCCAAGGAGAGCTTGAAGGCCTTAAGAAGGACCTTGATAAGGTGTCTGTGAAGACTCAGCAGGTGCTGGCCTCCCCTCAGCAGTCGGCCTTTGCTCCAGTGCTGCGCTCAGAGCTTGATGTTACTGTGCAGAAGATGGATCATGTCTACATGCTGTCTTCTGTTTACCTTGAGAAGTGGGTTTCCAAGTACTTAATCAGATGAGCTAATGCATCATTTCCAAATTATTTTTGATCTTTTCAAAATACCATGTCTTCTCTCAGACTGAAGACCGTGGACATGGTGATCCGTAACACTCAGGGTGCTGAGGGAGTCCTAAAGCAGTATGAAGACTGTCTGCGTGAGGTCCACACTGTCCCCAGCAATGTCACGGAAGTAGAGACTCAAAGGACCAAGCTTAAGGTGAACACAATCGCGTTTGTAAAAGTGGTTGAATTGCCTCTGTGAGACAGTTTATAGTATTACGCACAAACTGAGTCAAACACGACAGGATATAACCACTGGAGCTCAGACTTCTGCAGATTAATTTGACCCTATGTGCTCACAACTCACTGGCTACTTTTGGATTTGGCATTTCCAGAAAATGCGAGTGGAGGCGGAGGGCCAACAGCCAGTGTTTGATTCCCTGGAAGATGAGCTGAAGAAGGCTTCAGTCGTAAGTGACAAGATGTCCCGCGTGCACAGCGAGCGCGATGCTGAGCTAGACCACTACCGCCAGCTGACGACTAGTCTCCAGGACCGCTGGAAAGCAGTGTTCACCCAGATCGACCTTCGCCAGAGAGAACTCGATCAGCTTGGTCGACAGCTTGGTTACTACCGCGAGAGCTACGACTGGCTGATTCGCTGGATAGCCGACGCCAAGCAAAGGCAGGAGAAGATCCAGGCCATTCCCATCACTGACAGCAAAACTCTGAAAGATCAGCTTTCCCAGGAAAACGTAAAAACCTTTACAGTAACAACCTTCTGGTTTGTTATGTAAAAAAAAAAAAAAAAACACTTAGCTAAATTTAATTGAGTTTCCTGTTTGAAACAGAAACTACTGAAGGAGATTGAACAGAACAAAGATAAGGTGGAGGAGTGTCATACGTATGCTAAAGCATACATTGATACTATTAAGGTGAGCATTAAAGATGACAGTCACATTAAAAGGTAATATTTAACATACAGGAAGCTTTTGCCTTTAACTAACGATGTTTTATTTGTGTAATCAGGACTACGAGCTCCAGTTGGTTGCCTACAGAGCCCAGGTGGAGCCTGTAACTTCTCCTCTAAAGAAAACCAAGCTGGATTCTGCTTCTGACAACATCATCCAGGAGGTATGTTCTTAGGGCTTTTATTCTTATGATGGCTGCTGCAGTGTAGGTACTAGAGCCACAGATGATGCTATTATAGTATCTCATTATTATAAATGGACTTTTGTACCACATTCTAATTTTACGTTTTGGAGTGGTGAGTCTCTAGGCCAAACAGTGCACGCTCAAGGTTTTCCTCACAAGTACAATACAGATCTGTTCTTTCTACAAATAAATTAGCTTTGTTCTTGGTAATTACAAGATAGTAATTCAACATCTTGCAGCAGGAACAATGACTAATATACAGTATAGTGTTGGTACAGACTGAGGAGCATATTGGAATTCAACCATGGCACATTATATTTGGTCTGCTTTTTCCTCTTTTCCAAATGTGTGTCCATCCATCAACAGTATGTAACACTAAGAACCAGGTACAGTGAGCTGATGACTCTGACCACTCAGTACATCAAGTTCATCACAGACACGCAGCAACGCCTGGAGGATGGGGAGGTACGTGACAACTGTCTGAGGGTCCCAAACAAACTAAACTCTAACTTTAACCTAACCAACCAACCAACCAACCAACAGACAAATGACTCAAACTCCCCACTGATCGCCAAGATGCATGCACAAACACACACACACACACTTCCTGCTTCTCTCTAATGCACATTTACTTTTAATGTACAGATGACAAAGTGTTGCTTTACACTAGGAATGCATGAAACACTGGCATGCTGTAGCAGGTCTATTAGCAAGAGATGCAACTATTTTAGGGCAAATGCCATCATGGCCTTACTTACAACATTGGAACCAAATCCAAAAATAACCACAAGCAAAAGCATTGCTTGTGTTTTATTTAGAGTGTTGAGGTGGATTGGGCATCAGTACAGTCCACAAGGCCTGGGAGTGCTCCTGGCTTATTTACAGTACTGTAGATTAATCAGTTAGAGGCTAATTAAGACCACCATGTCTAGACTAGGTAAATACATTCACGCATTCATGTTCATTCATTCTGAGTGTTGCGTCATAGTAGATTTAGAATGAGGGGTTCTTTCTTTCACTTTGTTATAGTTTCCTTTACTGTTTCATCCCGTTATCATTTTCCTAGAGATTCCACTCAAAACTATTCCATTTGTGGGTCAGTCTGGTTGTCACTGTCTTCAGCTTTTCTCTACCCAGATTCAAGGACTTCCATTCCTTTCTAACCCAGTGTTTATTTGTGTCCCTGCTCCTTTTTACTGCTTGCCAGTGCTTTGCCATGTTTGAACATATAAGAGGTAAAACTATTTGGTGTTTCAGGTACCTATCTAATGTCCATTTGTCGTCCCTGTCATCCGCGTGGCTCTCAAACTGCATTTTTACTTTCCATTCCATGTTTGTTTGAATTTCATTCAACTCTTCTGTAATGCAGTTCAATTGTTCAGACTGTTTAGCAGAATCTGATGTTCCTTCTCTAAATAAACAGCCTTCCTCTGTTTTTCTGACCAACACTGAGTTCACCTAAAGTTTCCACTTTCCTACATTTTACATTTGGTCTGAAATGGTGATTTAAAGAACCCCCACTGCATGGGATGAAAAACTTGTTCTGAGTGAGAAAATGACACTAACCTACACTTTATTTTGAAAATTTAACAAATATCCCTGTGCATAAAAGGGCATGTATGGGGTATAAACAAAACCCCATCTGGTAGTGATTACACATCTAATCACTAGGTCTGTTGGTGATTATTTTTAAATGTATTTTCTAAATGCATTTAGAAAATAATGTTAGATGTTCTTGTTGACCAGGGTTCAAATTACAGGGGAGCTAATGGGAGCCTAGCTTACCTAAATGGTGACGGCTCCCCTAGAAGCCCTCAACTTACCCACCCAGGGGGAGCCCAAAAAGAGATCTTGTTTCAACCTATATGACATTATTTATATGGACTCAACATACCAGGGATTCTTTTGAGCAGAGGAGATGGAGAGAGCTGATTGTTGATGCGCTACAGGAAGCTATGTCCTGTGCACGGACACACAGTAACTTTCTCAAAGTGGCGCCACCCAAAAATATAATTATCACATGATTGTTCATGTCTGCTCATAGTCTCTGGTACTTTCTTTTATGCGGAGCTCATCACCCGCACTGTGGTGACTTTGCCTTGCTGGCGCGGCCATGCATTGCACACTTCTCTATTTTTGTGGATGGTGATCCCTTTGATTTGCTTAAATCAAATGTAAACCATGAGGTGAAAAGGTATGAAAATAGACACACCCCATCCCTCACCTCACTGGGATCCCCTGGAAGCCTCTGTGTGATTCGTACCCTGTTGTTGGCATTAATATAAGACCCATTCAGGGTTTTAGTTTTAGTGTGGTAGAACAGAATTGGACCTGCAGCTACAGTTGCATGCCGTGATTTTCTTGCTGTGCTGTGAAGTGAAATTTTGTTTCCATACATTAATTCACACATCCACATCTTCTGTTTTTCCCTGAATGATCTTGTCATGATTATTTAATTGCATCGTGAATTTAACATAATCTTAATGAATGTGCATCTAATTTGCATCTAGTGATTGAACTTTTCTTTGAGCTAATTTTAACATTAACATTGCCAAGGCAATACTATACATTAATGTGCTCTTAAACAAGTGTGTTTTGGCTGTGCTTACCAAAGTATTAACGATTTGAACTCACACTGTTTCGAGCTGGTTAATGTAAAAGTATTACCTTTACCCTGTCATGCTTGATTGTAATCCTTTCTTTACCATTTGCTTCCACTAATGCAGAAAGCTGCACAGAAACTGAAAGCAGAAGAGCAGAAAAAGATGGCGGAGATGCAGGCTGAGTTAGAAAAACAGAAGCAGTTAACTGAAGTGCACGCAAAGGCCATTGCCAAAGCCGAGAAAGAGGCTCAAGAGCTGAAGCTCAGAATGCAGGAAGAAGTAAGCAGGAGAGAAGTTGCTGCAGTAGATGCAGAAAATCAGAAGCAAAACATCCAGCTGGAGCTGCAGGAGCTCAAAAACCTCTCAGAGAAGCAGATCAAAAACAAAAGTCAACAGGTGGATGAGGCGCTTCAAAGCCGGATCAAGATCGAGGAGGAAATTCGCACCATCAGAACCCAGCTCGAAATTACTGTAAAACAAAAGGCTACTGCAGAAAATGAACTCCAGCAACTGCGGGACAGAGCAGCCAATGCAGAGAAACTCAGAAAAGCAGCTCAAGAAGAAGCAGAAAAGCTTCGTAAACAAGTCAATGAAGAAACGCAGAAAAAGCGTTTGGCAGAAGAGGAACTCAGTCGCAAGTCTGAGGCAGAAAAAGATGCTGCAAAGCAAAAACAAAAAGCTCTTGAAGACCTAGAAAACCTTAGAAGACAGGCAGAGGAGGCAGAGAGACAAGTCAAACAAGCAGAGCTTGAAAAGGAGAGGCAAATCAAAGTGGCTCATGAAGCTGCCCAGAAAAGTGCCGCTGTTGAGCTCCAGAGCAAGCACATCTCTTTTGTGGAAAAGACCTCAAAGCTGGAGGAATCGCTCAAGCAAGAGCACGGTGCCGTCCTTCAGCTGCAGCAAGAAGCAGCTCATCTCAAGAAACAACAGGAGGATGCTGAAAAAGCCAGAGAAGAGGCAGAAAAAGAACTTGAGAAATGGAGACAAAAGGCCAACGAGGCCCTTCGTCTAAGACTACAAGCTGAAGAAGAGGCGCACAAAAAGAGCCTTGCTCAAGAAGAAGCTGAGAAACAGAAGGAGGAGGCAGAGCGTGAGGCGAAGAAGAGGTCCAAGGCTGAGGAGTCTGCGCTGAAGCAGAAAGAAATGGCCGAGCAAGAACTCGAGAGGCAGAGAAGAATAGCCGACAGCACAGCTCAGCAGAAACTCACAGCAGAGCAGGAACTCATTCGACTCAGGGCCGACTTTGACAATGCAGAGCAACAGAGGACCCTACTGGAGGATGAGCTGTACCGCCTGAAGAATGAAGTCATTGCAGCTCAACAACAAAGGAAACAACTGGAAGATGAATTGGCCAAAGTTAGAAGTGAGATGGATTTACTTATCCAGCTGAAGTCTAGGGCTGAGAAGGAATCCATGTCCAACACAGAGAAGAGCAAACAACTCCTTGAAGCAGAAGCAGAAAAGATGAGGGACTTGGCCGAAGAGGCAAGCAAGCTTAGAGCCATTGCAGAAGATGCCAAGCATCAGCGGCAAATTGCAGAGGAGGAGGCAGCTCGTCAGAGGGCGGAGGCTGAGAGAATTCTCAAAGAGAAGCTAGCTGCCATCAGTGAAGCCACCCTTAAGAAAACAGAGGCTGAAATCGCCCTGAAGGAGAAGGAGGCTGAAAACGAGAGGCTCAGACGGCAAGCTGAGGATGAGGCATACCAGAGGAAAGCTCTCGAGGACCAGGCGAACCAACATAAACAAGAGATTGAAGAAAAGATAGTCCTTCTCAAAAAGTCATCAGAGGTTGAAATGGACAGACAGAGAGCATTGGTAGACGACACACTCAAACAGAAGCGAGTTGTTGAGGAAGAAATAAGAATTCTGAAGCTCAACTTTGAAAAGGCCTCATCTGGAAAACTGGATCTGGAGCTGGAACTGAATAAGCTTAAAAATATTGCTGAGGAAACTCAAAGAAGCAAGCTAAGAGCAGAAGAGGAAGCGGAGAAGCTGAGGAAGCTTGCCCTTGAGGAGGAGAAGAGGAGGAGGGAGGCAGAGGAAAAGGTCAAGAAGATTGCTGCAGCGGAGGAAGAGGCAGCCAGACAGCACAAGGCAGCCCAAGAAGAGCTTGACCGTCTGAGAAAAAGAGCAGAAGAGACCAAAAAGCAAAAAGATGAGGCAGACAAAGAGGCAGAAAAACAGATTGTTGCAGCCCAAGAAGCAGCCCTGAAATGCAACGCAGCTCAGCACCAGGTGCAAAGTGTTCTTGCTCAACAGAAGGAAGACAGCATGATGCAGACAAAGCTTAAGGAGGAGTATGAGAAAGCCAAGAAGCTTGCCAAAGAAGCAGAAGCTGCTAAGGAAAAGGCAGAACGGGAGGCAGCTCTTCTTCGTCAGCAAGCGGAGGAAGCTGAGCGTCAAAGAGCTGCTGCTGAGCAAGAAGCTGCAAGCCAAGCTAAAGCTCAAGAAGATGCTGAATTGCTGAGGAAGGAGGCTGAATTTGAAGCTGCCAAGCGAGCACAAGCAGAAGCTGCCGCTCTCATGCAGAAAGAGCAAGCCGACTCTGAAATGGCAAAGCATAAGAAACTGGCCGAGCAAACGCTAAAACAAAAGTTCCAAGTGGAACAAGAGCTCACAAAGGTCAGGCTTCAGCTCGATGAAACAGACAAGCAGAAATCTCTGCTGGATGAGGAGCTGCAGCGCCTGAAAGATGAGGTTGATGATGCTGTCAAGCAGAAGGCCCAAGTGGAGGATGAGCTTTTTAAAGTCAAGATTCAGATGGAGGAACTACTCAAGCTTAAAATTAGAATTGAAGAGGAAAACCAGCGTCTGATCAAAAAAGATAAAGACAACACCCAGAAGTTCCTTGCAGAGGAGGCTGAGAACATGAAAAAGCTTGCAGAAGATGCCGCCAGACTTAGTATTGAAGCCCAAGAGACTGCCCGCTTGAGACAAATTGCAGAAGAAGACCTCAACCAGCAACGAGCGCTTGCAGAGAAAATGCTCAAAGAGAAAATGCAGGCCATACAAGAAGCATCCAGACTTAAAGCTGAGGCAGAGATGCTCCAAAGGCAGAAAGACCTGGCTCAGGAACAGGCACAGAAGCTCCTGGAGGATAAACAACTAATGCAGCTGCGTCTAGAGGAGGAAACAGAGGAATACCAGCGCTCTCTAGAAGCAGAGAGGAAAAGACAACTAGAGATCATAGCTGAAGCTGAAAAACTCAGACTTCAGGTTTCTCAGCTTAGTGAATCCCAAGCCAAAGCTGAAGAAGAGGCTAAAAAATTCAAGAAACAGGCAGATACAATTGCTGCTCGTCTTCACGAGACTGAAATCGCAACAACAGAAAAAATGACTGCAGTTGTAAGACTGGAATCTGAGAGACTAAATACCACCAAGGAGGCTGATGATTTACGCAAAGCTATTGCAGACCTAGAGAACGAGAAGGATAGACTGAAAAGGGAGGCTGAAGACCTTCAAAATAAGTCCAAAGAGGTATTGTGTCAAAAATGGCATAGCAGAGCAGCTCATGTCATTGTTAACTGTCTAAATACTAACTCATTTCCTTCTCGGAATTTACTCTTTTCTTTCTGAGTATACTAATTTCAAATCTATATTTTTAATCTTGATAATGATTGTATAATTTTCTTACAGTGCACTGTGCTCATGCAGATCGTATCCCGAATGCCTCTTCATGTCCTGGAATGTTCACTCATATTTACTCTCATGCAACGTTCTATTTTAGTTTAAGAACCAGTCTACAACCTAAAAGCTTGAAACTAGCATCTCAGCGGGTTCGTTAAGTGCATTTATGTGTTGGTCCTTAAGTAGAAAGACACACACCCACAAACTAAGCTAAAACTCACCTTAGTTGGAAATCAAAGAGCTCTGCTTAGAGGAAAGAGTAGAGATGTTATTTCAACATACTTCTGTTGTTCAAGCATGAAGCCAAAATAAATTTACAAGTGCTGTATGCTGCCATGTTGTATTTTTGGAGCCACCGTGAGCCATCTGAACACTCACTCACTTACAAAATCATGTTTTTTCATAAAATAACTAGCTTCAACTAATAATCTTAAAAATATATATTATCTGAAGCATTAAACACATAAAAAAATACATGGCTGCTTAAGCAACAATGTGCAATGAGCATTTACATCAAGGGTCTGCGACTAGAAACCCTTACTGCAGCCAACCACCAGGTGGTGCTTTTGGTTTGTTTCAGATTAAACCTTTGCTACGTCTATATTATATGAATGTTTATCGTTTTTACTCACAGTAACCAGATCTTGAGCCATGACACAGTACCCAAGTATTAATTAATAATTTAATGAAAATAAAAACAAACTTTTTTATCACTCATGAGTGAAATTGTTTAGCCAGCAGCATAACTTTATTTAGGGAAAATTAAGACAAACTAGTATCTTTCTCACCTTTTTATTTAAATCATCACAATGTTTATTACATTTATTTCTTTTAAAAGTGTGAAAGTCTGAATAAACACCTAACATTCAATGACTCACCGACGAAACAAGCAGGGAAGCTGTTGTTTTAACTTTCAGGAATCAGCAGACAACATCCTGACCAGTAGAAGCTAACTGTTAGCATTAGCAATTCCACCACCAGAAAACTCCTCCAAGATGTAAGATGTCCAAAAATCAGGAAATAAGACTCCAGATACTGCTGTCTTTTGCCACTCTCTGCAGCAGCAGGCTTGTCGGTGCGGATCCAAGCGTTTCTGGGCTTTTTTGCCCCGAATACAGTTTGCAAGGCCTTAATTTCTGCCAGAGACTGCAAATGTATTGAATTAACGATGACACTAACCTACACAGAATCAGTTGGATTTTAATAACTTTTTTCCATATTTCATTAAGTAGAATTGCATACTTTCAAAGCCTATTTGCACACTTATTTTTCACAAGGCCCACAGTTGCACTTTAAAATAAAACATCTTCATGTTTCTGCTTTTTGCATGGCAAAGGTCACCAAATTTTTACGCAAACTGAAAATGTAGATTGTAATAACCAAATTAAACAAATGTATATAAATTATATATGATATATGATATATACACACACACTCAAACACTAATGTTTTCCAGTCTATTAACCACTTGCGTAGTGATAAATAGAAGTTAATATATTTTTTAGATTTGTTTATTGCACGTCAGCCTCAAACTCAGCACAACACCTTTATCAGAGAATATGAACAGCACCTTTATAAAAGGTCATAAAAAAACAAGAGTGCCATTTTAATGTTACCAGTGAAAATTTTAGGACCTGATGTATAAGCAGAGTGCATTGTAAAAAATGTTCTTTAAAATTTTCATAACTACAAAGTTTAGCATACATTAGTGTGTGTAACAGCTGGAAACCTTGTGTAACTTGTATTTTCTGTTTCCCAAATAGATGGCTGATGCTCAGCAGAAACAAACTGAACACGAGAAGACATTGCTTCAGCAGACATTCCTGACAGAAAAAGAGATGCTGTTAAAGAAGGAGAAGCTCATTGAAGATGAGAAAAAGAAGCTGGAGAGTCAATTTGAAGAGGAAGTAAGAAAGGCAAAGGCTCTCAAGGATGAACAGGAACGGCAGAAACAGCAAATGGAGGAGGAAAAGAAGAAACTCAAGGCTACCATGGATGCTGCCCTCAATAAGCAAAAAGAGGCTGAACAAGAAATGCTAAACAAGCAAAAAGAAATGCAAGACCTGGAGAAAAAGAGATTAGAACAGGAAAGGCTTCTTGCAGAAGAGAACCAAAAATTGCGAGAGAAACTACAGCAGCTTGAAGGAGCCCAGAAAGAAGCTGACAGTCAAACTGCGGTGATTCGTGTAACAACAGTTGAGACAACAAAGACCGTTTACAATGGTCAAAATGCCAGTGATGTTGTAGATGGTGTGGTTAAACCTGATCCCCTAGCCTTTGATGGCATCCGTGGTAAGGTACCTGCAAGCAGACTTTATGATCTTGGTCTTTTACCCAAAAAAGAGTTTGACAAGCTAAAAAATGGCAACACCACTGCTCAAGAGCTTGGAGAAACTGAAAATCTTAAAAGAATTCTTAAGGGAAACAATGCCATTGCTGGTGTTTTAACTCCTACTAATCAGAAAAAGTCAATCTATCAAGCATCAAAGGAAAAAATGATTACCCCTGGCACAGCGATGATCCTTCTTGAAGCACAGGCAGCCACGGGCTACATTTTAGACCCCATCAGGAATAAAAAACTTTCTGTCAATGAGGCTGTAAAGGAAGGTGTGATTGGCCCTGAACTGCACAACAAAATGCTGTCAGCTGAGAGGGCTGTTGTTGGCTACAAAGATCCATACACTGGTGGAAAAATCTCTGTTTTTGAAGCCATGAAGAAGGGTCTGATAGAGCATGATCAGGCTATCAGAATCCTTGAGGCTCAGCTTGCTACTGGTGGCATCATTGATCCCGTCAACAGTCACCGCGTTCCCAATGAAACTGCCTATAAGCAGGGACAGTATGATACAGAAATGAATAAGGTTATGGAGAAACCTTCAGATGACACAAAGGGATACTCTGATCCCAGCACTCAGGAACCATTGACATATTCTGAGCTAATGTCAAGATGCAAAACCGACCCCGAGACCAGTCTGTTATTCCTGCCAATCACAGAAAAAGCTGCTCAGTGCTCTAGTATATACACAGAAGAAGAAACCAAAGATGTATTCAGCAAGACAAGTGTCTCAGTACCATTTGGGAGATTCATGGGTAAAACTGTCACCATTTGGGAGATAATCAACTCTGAGTACTTCACTGAAGATCAGAAGAAGGACCTTCTTCGTCAGTACAAGACAGGCAAAATCACAATCGAAAAGATCATTAAGATTGTCATTACTGTGGCTGAAGAGAAAGAGAAGAAAAAAGAAATTACCTTTGATGGTCTAAGGGCCCCTGTCTCTGCCAGTGAATTACTTGAATCTAAAATCATTGACAAAGACCTTTACAATAAATTGCTCAAGGGAAATATTTCTGCCAAAGAAGTCTCTGAAATGGAGCCTGTCAATAAAGCAATGAGAAGTACAAACTGCATTGCAGGTGTACTCATTGACTCATCCAAGGAGATTTTACCCTTCTACCATGCTTTGAAAAGAGACATGATGAGGCCTGGGCTTGCTTTGAATATGCTGGAAGCTCAAGCAGCAACAGGATTTGTGGTTGACCCTGTTAACAATCAGAAGTACACTGTTGATGAGGCTGTAAAGGCTGGAGTTGTTGGTCCTGAGCTGCATGAAAAGCTCTTGTCTGCTGAGAGAGCTGTTACTGGTTACAAAGATCCTTACACTGGGCAGACTGTGTCTCTTTTCCAGGCAATGAAAAAAGATCTAATTCCTAAAGAGCAAGGTATTCGGCTGCTTGATGCCCAAGTGACCACTGGTGGCATCATTGATCCTGTAAAAAGCCTTCGTATTCCTCATGATGTAGCTTGCAAGAGGAATTACTTTGATGATGAAATGAAACGGGCCTTAAGTAATCCAAGTGATGAAGCAAAATGTTTCTTTGACCCAAACACAAAAGAAAATGTCACATACTCAGAGCTCTTCAAAAGATGTGTCACTGACAAGAAAACTGGCCTCTCAGTTCTTCCTCTTAGTGATGAAGCAATTAATGATAAAGAAGAGACAACGTACACTGAAGCTCAAACAAAAGAAGCAATGACTCGAGCAACTGTGGAGCTTGACTCTGGGCCCTTCAAGGGCAGAAAGATGACAGTCTGGGAACTAATTAACTCTGAGTATCTTACTGAGGATCAAAGACTTGATTTTCTAAGACAGTTTAAGTCTGGAAAGTTTACAGTTGAGAAGATAATCACAATTATTATCACCATCGTGAATGACAAAGAGGCTAAGAAACAAGAAGAGTCAAGCTTTAAGGGGCTTCGAGCTCCTGTTCCAGCAAGTGCCTTGTATGATTCCAAAATCATTGACAAACCAACCTTTGACCTCCTTCAGCAAGGCAAAACTACACCTAAACAAGTCAGTGAAAATCCAAATGTTAATAAATACCTGCAAGGCACAGAAAGTGTTGCTGGCATTTACCTGGAACCAACAAAGGAAACAATAAGCATTTATCAAGCCATGAAGAAAAACCTACTCAGGCACAACACTGGTCTTTCCCTTCTTGAGGCACAGGCTGCTTCTGGGTTTATTGTAGATCCTGTGAAAAACCAATGCCTGTCAGTTGATGAGGCAGTGAAAGCAGGCATTGTTGGCCCAGAACTGCATGAAAAACTTCTATCTGCAGAAAAAGCTGTCACTGGCTATAAGGACCCATTCACAGGCAAAAAAGTATCCCTCTTCGAAGCTATGCAAAAAGATCTTATTCTTAAAGAGCATGCCATGCCTCTGTTGGAAGCACAGGTGATCAGTGGAGGAATCATTGACCCAGTCAACAGTCATCGGGTTCCCACTGAGGTAGCATACCAAAAGAACATTTTCAGTAAACAAACTGCCATGGCCTTATCTGAACCATCAGCTTACAAGGCATTCTCGGATCCAGAAACTGACGAGAATGTAACCTACAAGCACCTAAAAGAAAAATGCCAAAAAGATAAAGACACTGGCCTCTACATCCTCCCACTCTCTAAACCTCAGTCTCCAACTGTTGTGGAGAAGACATATCTCTATACAGAAGAACAAACTCAAAGTGATCTAGCTGACACCAAAATTGACATTCCAATTGAAGGACTTGCTGATAAACCAATGAACCTATGGGAAGTAATGAATTCAAATTTGCTTCCAGAACAAGAGAGACTGAAACTCTTGGAGGAATATCGCTCTGGAAAAATCACTAAAGAGCGAATGATCATCATTATTATTGAGATAATGGAGCAAAGAGAGATCATCATAAATGACAGTCCACTGTCATACAAGACTATAAGAAGAAGGATAACCATTGAGGAGCTTTACAATGCCCGTATCATTGATTTAGAGACCTATAACCTTCTCAAACAGGGCAAGAGGGATATCCGTGACATAATGGAAATGGCCAGTGTGAAACAATATCTCTATGGCACAGGCTGTGTTGCTGGTGTCACAACAGAATCAAGCTTGAAGATGAGCATATACCAAGCCATGAAGAGGGGTTTCATTAAACCAGAAGTGGGTCTCACGCTTTTAGAAGCACAAGCTGCAACAGGATTTATTGTTGATCCGGTGAAGAATGAAACACTAACTGTTGAGGAAGCTGTCCGTAAAGGTGTTGTTGGGCCTGAGATCCACGACAAACTACTTTCAGCTGAAAGGGCTGTCACTGGGTACAAAGATCCATACAGTGGGAAGATCATATCGCTTTTCCAGGCTCTGAAGAAGGATCTCGTTCCAGAAGATTATGCCCTGAAAATGCTGGAAGCCCAAAATGCTACTGGTGGCATCATTGATCCAGAATTTCAGTTTCATTTGCCAGCAGACATTGCTTTGCAAAGAGGTTATATCAACAAGGAGACTAATGAGCGGCTGGCAGATGACATCAAAGGGTTCACTGATCCAGTTACTGATGAAAAACTATCGTATGCACAGCTTCTCAAGAGATGCAAGCTAGAGGGTGGATTACGACTTATCTCACTGGGAGACAAGAGACTGACCTTCAAGGGTCTGAGAAAACAGATCACATTGGAGGAGCTGATTCGTTCTCAAATTATTGACCAGCAAACTGTCACTGAACTAAACGAAGGTTTGCTTTCAGTGGAGGAGGTCAGCAAAAGACTATCAAGATACCTTCAGGGTACATGCTGTATTGCTGGTGTATTTTTAGAGTCAACCAAAGAACGTCTGTCAATATACCAGGCCATGAAGAAGAGCATGATTAGACCAGGAACTGCCTTTGAACTCCTTGAAGCCCAGGCAGCCACAGGGTATGTCATCGATCCAATCAAGAACCTTAAATTGACGGTCAATGAAGCAGTAAAAATGGGAATTGTAGGACCAGAATTCAAAGACAAACTTCTGTCTGCTGAGCGGGCAGTGACTGGTTATAGAGATCCTTATTCTGGCAAGACAATCTCTCTGTTCCAAGCAATGAAAAAGGGGCTTATCCTGAAAGATCATGGTATCCGTCTCCTAGAAGCCCAGATTGCCACTGGAGGAATTATTGACCCAGAGGAAAGTCATCGTTTGCCAGTTGAGGTGGCCTACAATCGTGGTTTCTTTGATGAAGAAATGAATGAGATCTTGTCAGATCCATCTGATGATACCAAGGGCTTCTTTGATCCTAATACAGAAGAAAACCTGACCTACCTTCAGCTGATGGAGAGGTGTATCACTGATCCTGACACTGGACTGGTACTTCTGTTACTGAAAGAAAAGAAGCGTGAAAATAAGACTTCTTCCAAATCCTCTGTTCGGAAACGCAGAATTGTCATTGTAGACCCAGAGACAGGCAAAGAAATGACAGTTTATGAGGCCTACAGAAAGGGGCTCATTGACCATCAAACCTACTTGGAGCTTGCAGAGCAGGAGTGTGAATGGGAGGAGATCACAATGACCTCTACTGATGATTCTGTAAAATCCTTAATCATTGACAGAAGGTCTGGTAGACAATATGATGTTGACGATGCCCTCTCACGAGGACTCATTGACCAGAAAGCTCTAGACACATATCGAGCTGGAAACCTGTCAATCACAGAGTTTGCAGACATGCTCTCTGGAGGTGCTAGTGGTTTCCGTTCACGCTCATCCTCATTTGGTTCCACTACCGGTTCAACTTACTCATCTACCATGAGCCCTATACCTTCTGTTAAACCACCTGCAATAAACTGGAATGACCCATCAGAGGAGACTGGTCCCATAGCAGGAATATTAGACATAGACACACTGGAGAAAGTGTCTATCACTGAGGCTATACACAGAAACTTAGTAGACAACATCACAGGCCAAAGACTGTTGGAGGCCCAAGCCTGTACAGGAGGTATAATAGACCCCACAAGTGGAGAGAAGTTCACAGTTGCTGATGCTACAGAAAAGGCCTTGGTAGATAAAGTCATGGTTGACCGCCTTAACCTGGCACAAAAAGCTTTCAATGGATTTGAGGATCCCAGAACTAAAGTGAAGATGTCTGCCTCCCAGGCCCTAAAGAAAGGTTGGTTGTATTATGAGGCCGGCCAGCGTTTCCTTGAGGTTCAGTATTTGACTGGTGGTCTTATTGAACCTGATATTGAGGGCAGAGTATCCATAGATGAATCCATCAGAAAAGGAACCATTGATGCTCGCACCGCCCAGAAACTGAGGGATGTCAGTGCTTATTCTAAATACCTAACATGTCCAAAAACCAAACTGAAAATCTCCTTCAAAGATGCCATGGACAGAAGCATGGTTGAAGAAGGATCTGGCTTAAGGCTTCTGGAGGCCTCCTCTCAGTCTAGCAAAGGCCTCTACAGCCCATACAATGCCAGTGGCTCTGGATCTGCATATGGCTCTCGAAGTGGCTCGAGGACAGGATCCCGATCAGGCTCCAGAAGAGGCAGCATTGATGCTGGCTCAGGCTTTGGCATGAACTTCTCATCCTCCTCCTTCACATCCTCATCCACCTACACTCGCAGATTCTGATGAGCTTGTCCTGTTCTTCATTGTAACTAAAAGCAAGCAATACTAATGCACTTCATAGTTGCATTTTCTAACACCAAAAAAATAGTTACAATAACAAAAAAATTATAATTTATTTATTCATTATATCTTGTAGTCACAACAAAACTTGCCTGGGCTTTTCATTTTATTATATTTTTTTTTTTCATTTTTTTATCTATAGTATCCATGTGGACAGCTGCCTCATGTGTGAGGGTATGGCAAAACTATAAACACAAAATATAAATCTATTCTGCTACAGATTGCAAAGTCAGATCATGTTTTCAAAGTAAAGCCTTATTATTCTGCTGTTCTAAGTAAACTATGTTTAGTTTTTACACCTGTTCAAATTATGTTTTCTAGTGCTTCCTGGAACTATTACTGTTTGCCTATCAAAAAGAAATTATTTTAATTATTCCTTTTTAGTGTTTGAGTTTTGACATTTTTTTGAAAAACAAATTATTGTTTTATAACTTTTTGTCTGCAGTAGTGATGACATGGTGACTCAACATAGTTCTAATGATTTTAACTAAAGCATCCAGATGCCTTAATGACTTAACTGTTTGTATAGAGCGTGAGCAGATGTTGTTTTTCTTTAAGTGTTTTATGTTGCCTGGTTTACTGTGTGCTGTACTGAATTAACTGCAGTACACTTTCTTTATGTAAAACACTACAAAACGAGATACACTAGAGTTCTTCAAAGAAAGTAAATCTGTGCAGACTGTTATGAAACTACTTCTCCTTTTGTCAGTACTTGTGGCCGTCTGTGGTCAGTGGACAAGTTAATTGCTTTTTTTTATACACTCCAAATTTTGGAATTCTTAAAACTTCCATCAACTAAGTGTTCCAGTTAAATCCCAAGGAGATGCCAGGCTCATTCCTGCTCCCCCTCACAGACCCGCCACCAGTTTAACTCCTGTAAGTGGACATTTTTATTTTCGTATTTTCTTCTTTTTCTTACAGTTCTGTGTTTCTTTAGTTTTCTGGCATCACACCACTAAGCTTAGGATTGTCTCACAGGCTACCATGGTGTCAAATAATCAGATTCATCCCATCAACTTTCAAACTCTTAACTACAACTGGTTTTCTGTCATTCTTTCTTTTCCCATAGCTGCATCGCTCTCTACAAATCCAACACGTGTGCACAAAAACTCAGTTGGACAGATCGTGTAGCCTCCCCACCATCGATGGCCTCGTGGGTCCGGGTCATCCTCATGCAGTAAACCAGGTACAGTGCTAGGCTGCTTTCAAATCCTTTGTCATTTTTTTTTACCATTTAAAGTTTAGTTTTGACCTTTTTTAATTTCTGTTCTTGATTTCTCTCATCGCATGTTTTGGTTCATGTTGTCTATGTTCTATGGTTATTTTCATTTATTTCCAGATCTGCCTTAGAGTGTCCTTTCTTCCATTGTGCATCACATTTGAGGGAAAGCTGGGACTGAGTCTACTTCATCTTGGGATGCTGCTTTCTGAAAACACTCTTTACTCATAAACTTTATTTATGTAATTCACTTGAATGAACACCAAAACAAACATTTATGGATTAAACTATTCTCAGATAATTCACTCCTTTATGAAAACGGGGACATTTCATAAAAAATACACCTTTTTTCAGTTTTCAGTTATGGTCCACTGATTACATTATTGTTTTATCTCTTCTAGTGAATCCATTTTTATCAAAGTTCCTGTTTCAGAAAATTTCAATTGTGTGAATGAATGTATTATATCATATTCACAACTTTCAGTTGATGTTTTGCCACATATTTGCTTTGTTTTGTGCTTTTTTTCTTCCACATTATGCATTTCTGAACACCTTTGAATTGATCGAACCATGATTTTGTTATGATGAATGTGCCTTGCATGTTTTACTCATTTTACAATAGACATTAAAAAAAATGTTTGTGTAAAAATATTTTAAAATGTTAGCGCCTGGCTAGCTTTGCCTTCAGGATAAATGTTTCTACAGATAAGAATTATTATTTTGCTGTATGTACCACTATACTGTTAATAAATGTGCTCTAAACTGGCACTCTTGCCATTCATGCACCATTCATCTTTTGGTTTGCTATTATGAATAAATTCATTATATTTCTGTTGCATGGCTTTAAATAGAAAAAAACAATAATGAGAAAAATGATCCTAACAGGTGGAGATATTGTAACTTTAATCAATGACAAAAAAAAATTAAATTTGTAAACATTCCAAGCCTCTTGCTGACAAGAGGTTTCCTCTCAAAGTGTTATAGGAACAATGCCCTAGTGTGAACATGGAAAATGTCCCACTGAGTTTTGATAGAAAGAAGGCAAGGCAGCTTTATTTGTAGTACACATTTCATACACAGCAGCAATTTAATGTGCTTTATTTGTAGTACACATTTCATACACAGCAGCAATTTCATGTGCTTTCCAGGTGCAAGATCAGTAATGACATAAAATATTAAAACTAAAATGACAACATAAAACAGGGGATTATGAAATCTAAGGTAAAACTACACAAAACTGGATGTAGGACATAAAACTAAAGGGCAAAGTTAAATGCTGAGCAGTTCCAGTGCAGAAGGTGCATCATAAAAAAAACATTCATTCCAAGGCTGATAAATACATGAAAATTTTCAATTTTGATTTCAAAGTTTATAAAGTTGCAGCAGATTTGAGGTCATGAGGAAGCTGAATCCATCTGTGTGCAGCATAGTGGCTAAAAGCAGCTTCACCCTGTTTGGTTCTGACCCAGGGTTCTACCAGCTTCCTAAGGACCTCAGAACCCTGTTGGGTGTATACACTGGAAAGAGATCCAACATATATTTTTTCCTCATGTCATTTAATATTTATAAAATAGAAATATCATTTTAAAATTGATTCTGTAGTTTAATGGTAACCAGTGTAGATATTTAAGAAGAGTGATGTGTTTTGGTTGTTGTTAAAGCCTAATTTATACTTCTCCCTCTGCGTCAGGACAGATGCACACAACGCCATTATCTGTCATTTCAGGGGCTATCTAACAGGCTCGCAAGGATGGAAGGAATTGAGCTCTCTTTTAAAAGCATCCATTCGATGAGACGGAGAACGCAAGCTTGTGATTGGTCAGGACATCGAAGTTGTCTACAGCAGTGGTGGCACCGGGGGGCGCTATAGCTACCCCTGGATTAGTCATTGCACCCCAATAGCATCCCTAAGTAAATATTAGATTTTTGTTTACAATTTAATTTTAATTTAACGTGTGGATGTGATAATATTTAACATACAAAACAAAAATAATCAGTAAATTATCATATAGATAGTAAAAATTTAAACCAAAACAGGAAATTGATGTTAACCTTTGACCTCATTTTCCACCTGCGAACGAGTGAAAGGTAGAGCTAGTGGTAAAATGGATCGGTTTTGTTGCCCAAATTTCCACGTGTTCTGTCAGGAACGAATGAATCTTTGGAAGTGATCTCAGACCCACAAAAACCTACGGATCTGGATGAAGAGAGTCAACCCTCAACCGCCGCAGCAGTCGAGGGTTTTGCCGCTGGAAATGCTAACACTAACGTTAGCTAACCTTGCAACACTATAGATGGTTTTCTGTGTGGCTGTATGCGTTTATGATGTCATGGAAAAGTCAGTGATTGTTCATATGTTTATGATGTATAATAATGATTGTTTCAGGTGTTGTTGAGGTTTTGTGCACACATGTGTATATGCTAGTGTTGAAGGTGTTTTAGAGAACAATAGGTATGCATGACCACTTCCTTCATAGCACCCTCAAAAAAAAGACTAGCTCCTTCATAGCACCTGCAGAAAAAAAATTTCCGGAGCCGCCACTGGTCTACAGCACTGCCATTGCACTCTCAAAAACATAGAGAGCTGAGGATATCTAGGGGCAGCTTGAAGAACACCTCACAGAAAAACAAAAATTATGAACGTTTCATTCCCCTGTGACTGGAGGAGTGAAAAGATACACAGCAAGCATTTTATTTGTGGACGAAAATGACGGGATACTTGGGTTTAGAGGTGACGAGCGCATGAAGAGGTGGAGGAGGATGAGCGACTAATTTGTCTGTGTTAAAAAGTCTCTTAAACACAGAAAAAAAAACTATAAACACACTATCTTGGACCGGATACATGACAGGATACCACAGAACAGCGCTACGCCCTCTGTTGTCCTGGTGGGGAATTGCTTAGCAACATTCCCCAGTAGACGGAGAAGTATGAGGGCAAATTGTCTCAGTGCGTGTCCTCCCTTGTGGAACTGATGGAGATTTATAAATTAGTCTTAAGACTCTAGCAGCAGCTTTCTGAATAAGCTGCAGTTGCTTCACAGCTTTATTGGGAAGACCAGTCAAAAGACCATTGCAATAGTCCAGCCTGCTGGAGATGAATATATGAATGAGTTTCTTTAGGTCCTGTCTGGACGAGACCTCTGAGTCTTGTTATTTGATGACGATGATAAAACGCTGATCTAGTCATAGCCTAATGTGACCAGTGAAGCTCAGGTCTGAATCAGGTATAACACAACTTACCAATCATAGACAATTGCTTTTGATCTAAAAGAAAAAAACATTTTATATATAAGCCCGAAAGCTCCACTTAGTTAACTTAAGTTGACTGGAAATTTGCCCCCAAAGTAGCTGCTGCCGGCTCCTGTTTCTTCATCTTTTTGAAAGTACCGCACTGTAGTCTGGGAAATGTTTGACCAAGGGAAGGCAACAAGGTACCTCCCATGAATCTTTGGTCAGTTAGCTAAATGGCAGACAAATGGAGGACAGATGCCTTTGTATTACATGAACATTGGAACACACCTTGGTGGTTTCTGATGACATATCTCTTCAAGACCATGGCACCAAGGCAAGGTTCCTTGCTATTGAGAAAAACCCAATAACATCAGTCTTGTCTTTGTTTAATTGAAGGAAGTTTGATTGCATTCAGTCTTAAACTTACTCCAAACACTGACAGAGAAAGTCTAGGCGGGGATTACAGTCACTAGGTGTTAGAACTAGGTAGATCTGCGTGTCATCTGCATAACTATGATAGATAATGTTATTTTATACGACCTGATCAAGGGGGAGTATAATGAGATTGAAGAGCAGTGCTCCAAGATGAAAACCTTGGGGGACCCCCACATATCATGGTGATCGTGATCACCAATATGAACAACATAACTTCTGTTTTTCAGATATGATTAGAAGCATGAATATCATTTAAAGCTGCAGTGAGTAATATGTGTGCTTTGTGTGTAAAAACAATTTACTTTTTTTCACCATAGAGCTCAGAGTAAGTATTGCAGCTACGGTAGACCAATCAATCAAAAAGGCAAAATGTCAAAAACCTCCATCTTTCACTCCAGCCATCCAGTCTGTTCTTTATAAATTGCAAGAGCTTGATAAAATATACAATTGCCAATCTCTAGCCTTAACCACACAAAGCATATTACTATTATGATGGAGCAATTAGTTATAATAACCTACCAGTCCTGATGGAAGCAAGCAAGTTCTTTCAGACCGCTCAATTCACACATGGAGGAGGGCTCACGTCAGCCAGGGAGTCCAGTGTCACGTGAATCTGGGGGAGCAGCAGTGGAGCAAACAAACTTGCGGCCTTTCAGCACCTGGCTTACAGATGAATGATGCCACGAGCCGAGGACACGCTGGTGATAAAGTAAACAATGTTAGCTTGGCCACCTGCTAGCGGATGGGAGAGAGATGGCAGTCTGCAGCAGGAGAAGAGACTTGAATAAAGGGAATTTTCTGAGGCGTCTTTAAGGAGGACGTTGGAACTGATACATTGGGACAGGATCAGGAGCTCCAGTATGAAGAAAAGACTAGTGAGGAACTTGAGGTGAGTTAGGGAGCTAGGGATACAGCTTGAAGGCTGGTGTCCAGCTGATAGCGGATGGGGAGCTCATCATACGTGGCTGCAGAGAGGACACGACAAGCTCCTGACACGTTTGACGTGTCTTTACATTTTTTTTATTTTGAATGTTATTCAAACTAACAAAGTACAGCAACGGTGTATCTATTTTCTTCTTAGTTGGTTTGGCAGACTGTATGCTTCCAGGGTGTGCTGCTACCCTCCGCTGTTAGTTTAAGGTTACAGTGAAAGTGCAAACGCAAAGTGCAGAGCTTGTATGTCCTTAAAGAGCTATCATATTTCAAGATGGTACACGGCCATGGAGCGTCAACCAGTTTATGTATTAAAAATGTTAAATTTCAAGCTGAGAAGAATACTTACAATAGATGTTGGTGAGAAATACTAATGAAAGAGGATAAGTTTGTGTACAAGATACACATACTTTTATAGTAGACAGGTAAAAATGTTACACATTGTAGCTTTAATACCTTAATTGGTGCTGCCTCTGTGCTGAGCTGTGGCCTAAAGCCTGACTGAAAATCAGCCAAGAGGGTGTTTGTCTCCAAAAAGTAGTTCAGCTGGATCATAACTGCTTTGTCAACAATTTTGTCAATGAACGGGAGAGTATAGATTCATCTGTAAGGGCAATGACATTTTTTGTATCATTCATAGAAAAACAGCTCAAATTCATAAATTGTAAAGGATGGTTGAATATCCCACCAGGTTTTTTTTCCTTGAAATTCTACATGCCAAAAATATTACGATGCCACTTCAGAAATATACAGATGAAAGATTTTATTGTGAAACAATCACACCCAGCTGCTAGTGCATGGCTTTGGTCATACACTTCAGATTGCCCAACCAGCCATTCCTCCCATTTCCGCATATTTCTCTTCTCCTGCTCCCTCACATCATCACACAAACATGCACATAGGACCTTGGGGGGTGGACAAGTCAAGGAGTGCGGGTGTGGACCCCATTTCTGCATTCCTGTGACAACCTGCCCCCCAATTTTAATTACACCTTATACAATTCCACCGACAACAATCCACGCAAACACACACTTAGGGCCTTGGGAGTGAGCACATTCAACGGCACTTGGCAGGGGGATTTCTCAGCCTCCTCCCGAGTGCCAGTGCCCACTTCCAATTTTAAAGTGCACTTAGACACCGAGGGCTGTGGGTGTAAGTGGGGTGGTGTGGTGGCATCCGCTG